ACATCTGGCTAGGTGACCACTAAAAGGAAGAAAGGGAGACTATACACATTGGGGAACAATTAACAGTCCTTTTCTCAGTGGTTGAGGTCTTAGGGAGAGGACACAGTCTAACTCCTAGTCAGTGGGAGTTAATAAATAAATTTTTAAACTTTACATTGCATTATAAAATATACATACCAAAACTACACAAATCATAAGTGGACGACTTGGTGAATTTTCACAAAGTGAACACACCTGTGTAGTTAGCGTGCAAGTCAAGAAATTGAACCATCGGTACCCCAGGGTTCGAGTTTCTTCGCCACCAGAAGGAAGAGTCACAGGGAAGGCGATTCGTTTCGCCAGGTCGCAAGGCAGAGGCGGGGCCCGGGATGGTCTAGGGTGCGACACCAGGCAAATGGGGCGTGACCAAGTGGAGAGGCGGGGCCCGGCAAGCTCTGCGAGGTCTTGAGGCCAGGAAGGGGCGGTGTCTGATGGCGTCACGCATGGGGGCGGGATTTCCTGGCCCGCAGTCCCGGCTAGAACGAAGGGGCGTGGTCACTTATGAGCGGTAAAAAGGGACGAGGCTAAGCAAAGGCAGAATTTCGCAGCTAGGATGGGCGGTGCCGAAAGCGAGCTGAGCCACTGAGGGCGAGTCAGGTGTGGAGAAGTTGGCCGGGCTTCGCGAGAGGAGGGGCTTCGAGTCACTTTAGGGCCGGAAACGCGCGGCGTAACGCCGGGGGCGGGGTCTCGTGGCGTCTGGGCTGCGGCGAGGGGTGGGGCCGGGCGCGCGCTCCAACATGGCGATGAACGTGTTCCCGTTCCGCGACGTTCGCGCTGCGCCGGATCCTGTGCTAGAGGCCGGCCCGGTGGCACACGGGCCACTGCCGGTGCCTCTGGTGCTGGACAACGGGTCGTTTCAGGTCCGTGCCGGCTGGGCATGTCCCGGACTGGACCCGGGCCCTGAGCCGCGCCTGCAGTTTCGCGCGGTGTGCGCCCGCGGGCGTGGCGGGGCGCGGGGCGGGGCGGGCCCGCAGGTGGGCAATGCACTGGGCAGTCTGGAGCCGCTGCGCTGGATGCTGCGCTCGCCCTTCGACCGCAACGTGCCTGTCAACCTGGAGCTGCAGGAGCTGCTGCTTGACTACAGCTTCCAGCACCTGGGTGTCTCCTCACAGGTGAAGAGCCGGGTGGGCTGGGCTGGGCTTGAGGGTGGGGTGAGGTCTTGTCTCCCCTCACTCCCCTTTCTTAGAGATTATAGTCGTTTCAGTAGCTCCGATAGTCATTTCGTCAATCGAGCAAATACTAAGCGCCTGTACTAGGCGCTGCGGGTATAGCAGCAAATAGAACACCGCATCTTTTCTCTTGGAGTACACATCGGGGCATATATGCTCTTTGGTAATATACTCATTTGTTAACAAATATGTATTGAGCACCTACTCTGTGTCAGGCACTCTTTTAGGTACTTAGAATACATCTGTACCATAAGAAAACTTCCTGTGCTTATGGAGCTAGTATGGAAAGATGCTCTAGCATAAAAAGACAGACAATAAACAATAGAATTATGTAGTAGAGTCTATGCCATAATAGGAGAAGAGGGAGTTATATTTTTTCAATAAGATGGGCAGGGGAGAACTCATGGGGAAGGTGATGTTTGAACAAGGATTTGAAGGAGGTGATTAACAGAACAAGCCGTGTAAATATCTGAGGGAAAGGTATTCTAGTCATAGGGAGTAGACAGTGAAAAAGGCCCTAAGGCCAGAATGTGCCCTAATGCTAATTGCAGGGCAACAGGAGTGAGGGGGGGAGTAGTACCTGGAAGAGGTACTACCTGCATTTGATCTTAACCAAAAAAAGCGAGGTGTGGTGGAAGAGGTATGACCTGGAAGAGGATGTCAGAGAGGTAGCGAGGGGGCAAATCACACACCTTCTGGCTTTTACTCTGAGTGAAATGGGGAGCCACTGCAGATTGTTGAGCAGAGGAAGAACATGACTCAGTTTCAGTACAGTCACTGTTGCTGCTTTGTGGAGAATGGACTGTCATGGGTCATCGGGTGGAAACGGGGACCAATTAGGAGGCTGTTGCAATAACCCAGGTGAGGGATGACGGTGATTTAGATGGGGGAGGTAGCAGGGAATGTGGTTAGAAGCAGTTGGGTTCTGGAAATATTTTGAAGACAGAGCCAACACGATTTGCTGACAGTTTGGATGGCACTTAATAAATTGACTCTACTTTCATATTTTCCTGTAGAGATGAGAGAGAAAACCTACTGATCAGGTTTTTGATTAAGAGACCAAAGCAAATTCAGCCCTGAAATAAGGGTTTTGGGTTCTTTTATGCTTTAAAAGAGTATTCTGATACCACTCATCTATTTGCCTTTTTCTTTCAAAGTAGGGTTGCGTTGATCATCCCGTAGTTTTGACAGAAGCTGTGTGCAACCCATTGTATTCACGACAAATGATGTCAGAGCTTCTTTTTGAGTGCTATGGGATTCCCAAGGTTGCCTATGGAATAGACAGCCTCTTCAGCTTCTACCACAATAAGCCAAAGAACTTGATGTCCAGTGGGCTCATCATTTCATCTGGATACCAGTGCACGCATATTTTACCCATCTTAGAAGGGAGGTGAGTTGCACTTGTGGTGTTTGAGTGCTATTTTGAGAAGCATTCAGGAAACATTTAGTGCCTACTTTAAAGGCAGAGTAGAAAGAGCACGTAGCCTAGGAACTGAGCCTCTGGGTTTGGCTTTGACCTACCTCACTGTGGGACTATGAGTAGGTCACTTTACCTCTCC